CATTCCTGAAACTATCGTACAACCATAATTTGTTTGTAGATATCTGATGAAGCTGATGTTGATCAAGGATTTGAAGCCCTTCACATCCGAAACTGCTGACTGATTAGACTACCTCATAATTATACTCTCCTACTATTTATAGTGACCCCACAGTTTCTACCCTGATGAGCAAATGAAAGCATTCAAAACCCTTGTTGTTCACAAGTATTTTTCAGCAACTTTTGTCCAGGAAGTAGACAGGAAGATGATGAATGATTTTCATGTCATAGTTGGAAAGGTAACTTTTTACTTTTATACCTAAATAACTTTCATGATAGGAACATTTTGAATGATGAAATTATGTTATTCATATATTTCCTACCTCATATTCATGTTTATCTTATGCAATTTTTTTATAGGTAAAATATTCACAATCAGATTCTGTGCTAATAAGTAACTTGAGGCTTGGGCAAGTAAATAAGGAACAGTTTCATGTACTGATGTATGTGCTTTGTGGCCCATGCCACCACTCTCATCATGATTGTGCCCATCATACCAATAGCAGAAATGGACATAGGTACAGTTGCCCTGGCTGGTTCAATACAAAATCCCTACTATATCTTCAAAGTCCGAGAAACGTGTTTTTTCGGAACAACATTCACAAATTTCTTTGAAGTTTCATGCTGAAGTTATAATACCTGGACTTTTGGGTGGATATTAATTTCACCAGAAGTGAACTATTGGTGTAAGTGTTCAAGTGCTGATGATGGAACCCCTATGACTAGTTGTGACAGTGATAAAGGGAAATTGTATGGTTCTATTTCAAATGTGTAGATATTTTAGGTACACCAGAATCAGCATGGTTTTGTGAATTCTGATTCAACAAGTTCTATAAAAAAATATGTACCTATACATAATAAATATATCATACAATCATTGTTTATTATTGTTTCAATCAGATCACTGAATAACTATAATGTACTATGAAGATTTTTTCATGGCTCATGTAGATCTTTTGTAATATAGTGGAATAATACAATGTATTTTTCATTTAATGAATATTACAGTTATTTTGATATACTTACTTTATTTGTCTCACATTTAAAATTGATAAAAATAAGTCACAACAAACTGTAATTTGTAAAAGTATTTATAATCTTGTAGATTTTCACCCTGTTTTCACCAATTTTCTCTTCTATTTCTTTATCTCCCAGGACACTTTCCTCATTACACTAAAATAAATGAAAAATTATGTAGCAGTAGTATTAGGTAATTAGGTGTTTTCTTGAGAACATACCAGGTCTCTCCGTTCTGATGCTTGATTCATGATTTGAACCTTTTGTCTGCTCTCAGTTTTTGATCCACATCAGTCTTGCATTTCGAATGGACAAGAGATTTGTTTGTTCTAAAATTTTGTTCCATAATTTGTTCTATCGGTCATTCGGTTGATGACCCATATTATATTGCAATGGGACCCAGCTGGATATTCTCTTCTCTCAGGCACTATGTTCTCCTACAAGGTAGATGATTTATTTATGTGTTAGAAACATGATGTTTCCAAACTATGTAGGACCATCAAAAGTAATGAGTATTGGTTTATTTTTTCAAAATGAAAAAAAGATAAGTTTTCCATAGGATGAAACACTAAACTCATCAGTTCTAGAGTAGGTAGGTACATATAAATAATATTAAAATCCTTTTTCTTAGGTACCTGTTATGAAAATAGTGTCTGCCACATATCCTCTGGTTTATTATGATTGATTCTGTTGCTGATTCTTTCTCTTGATGGCTGCTATCCACATTTCCCTTATTATTCTTGATAGATCCTTCATCTGTGGATAATGCTCAGAGTTTTTCACAGTATTACAGTAGGAATGTGACAAAACAGCAAATGGTCCCGATCTGCACTGCTTCCACAATCCACCACAATTCACGTTACTGGTAATTTTTTCTTTGAAATCATACTGAGTTTTCATTATTCGCAATACATCTAGCCGAAACTCGATAAAATAGTACTGTAAGAGGCTTCCAAAACCCACAAAGTTCTCAAGTTAACAAACTTGTCTTTGGTTTATTTGCCAACCAGACGCCATTTTGAAATTATTTGACAGGTCGTTGGATTGCCTAATTAGCGAACAGCTGTTTAGACTATCACGTCTTATTCTTCCCGTTTTATATTCATTTGGCACATCTGTGACCTAGTCGTAAGAAGCGTAAAACCTAATTATATATTGCCAGTAAGGGACTTGGCAAGCAAGGTCTTCAAGGCAAAGCACTACTCACACCACACTCGGCACCTGTCACGGTTTCCGAAGTGTCCTGTGAGCGGGCAGCCTGATGTAAATAGGGTTTTTGGAAACGTCAGAGTACCTCCGGGAAGAACGACGATTCTCTCTCTCTCTCTCTAGCAGGGTTGGAATAAGTCATGACTTTTATAAAAAAGTCATTGAAGTCCGACTTTTTGAATTAAGTCAGACTTTTTTGAATTAATTCATTTGAAAAAAAAAAACAAATTTCATTCCCTTCAGAAATCTTGTAGAATAACATCATAATATACCATGTTATTTTTCAAAACAAAATTGAAAGTGATGATAGAATATAGATACATTTCTCCGGGATCTATTATGCATGTCTGACTACTTAAAAGTCGATTTTGACACATGTCACTTGATCACTGGTATGGCGGTAAATTCAAAAAATTACGATGGCAAAAAGTGGGGTTAGATGGAAAGATGAAGTTATTAAAAAAAAATAAAAATAGCTATTTTCAGTTTTCTCAAATAATGGCTGAAAACTCCATATGTGAGCATGAATTTGAATTCTATTCAACTTGTACATCATCAACATCACTACTGTAAGGAAAAAAAAGAGAATTGTAACAAAATTGAAGAATATTCGAAAAAATATTCCAATTCTCCTCCAAAAATTGCTCCAAACTGAATGTGGAATAGCAACTTAATCAGACGATTTTCAAGTTATCGGATATGCATAATGGATCGCCGAGAGAAAAAAATTCGATGCTGTGATAATAAACCTGTTCTCATTTGTTATGGACTTAATGGATGATACTTGATACTGTATATATCTGTTCTCTGCGGTTCTCTGTCATGCTTGAAATAACAAAGTCTTGCCAAAATACGATCGAATTTTTCATTTTAAACTAGTTGAAATCAAAGGTAATAGTGCAATTTGTCTCATTTTTAAAAATTTGAATGAATTCATGACTTTTTCGAAAAAAGTCAATGGAATTAATTCACGAATTAAATCACTGATTTAATTCATATGAATTAATTCATGCCAACCCTGCTCTCTAGGGGCCATTTTTCTGAAATGCCACGAAAAGTTCGTGCTGTAGAACTTTTATACAAAATAATGAAGATTTTGGTGATGAAGGCCGATTAACACCTTTAGGCAAGTATAATATAACTTCTGCAATAAAGTGCACTGAAAATTATTTATTGAACAATAACAAAATACATCGAAAAACACATGCATCATGATGACTTCTTTTCAGGCCTTCATGGTATAGGTATACCGCCATTTTGGTATAATAGTCGTGTCGTTGTAATACACGACGCCATAATGATGGTGAACAAGGTTTAAAACCCTGTGATTTCAACCACAATTGCTACTGGTGCAATATTATGTTTATCCTTTGTTCCTGTTTCTGAAAGTTATTTTTCTGGACCCATGCTGATATGCCACTGAGAACAGTTCCTCCGAATTTGGTATATTCGTGATGGATGATGAGATCCGTTTGGTAAAAGCTACGTTACACTTATAGGGATGACCTACTGTAAGTAGACTTTTCACTTAATTTTGCCAACCTGATGAGAAGATGGACTGCACCATTTGATTTGGATTGAATTGAATAATACTATTACTTATTACTGTCTGCCTTAATATACCCTCTCCTTTGTGAGAAAGGGAGTATCAGCGCTGATAGTCCGTTTCATAGGACTTGGTTATATTTTCCAGAATTTATATCATACCTGTGGACCATTTATACAGTTCTTAATGTTTCCTTTTGAAGCCACAGTGAGGCTAAGTTTAAGATTTAAGTACTGCTTATCTTAGTATATATTTGTACTAACGAATTCTGACTAATACAGTTTTGTATACTATTGGATCATAAAAGATAACAAAACTGTTGCAACTATTCATAAGATTATATACTAACAGATTATTCACTCTCAGTAATTTCTTAAGCTAAAGTTAATTCTCAAATACTCCAGGTGTTGTGTCCAATTTAAATATTACATATGATATTATTGTAACCTTGAGGTAATTCGGTCATTATAGCATGGATTTAGAAAAACTCCATTACTGTTGATATTTTTGTTTTGTCCCACCCTATTCCTTCCCAGATAATACTGGGTGGCGCCCACATTTACCTATTTTTATGAAATTAAAAAAGAAAAATAAGACCTTACTTCTGATGAATCCACGACCATCTCTACCACTAAAGAGCAACCGTGTAGTGAGGCCATAATTTCATCTCTTGTTGAAATTACGTCACAAGATTAAAACCAGTATTAATACGCGAGGATACCGTGGCGTCTTCTTCCGCTTCCATCTCTATTTCACTGACACTCCATACGAAATACTAAGTCAGCCACCTTGATTTGTTCGCTTGCTGCCTTGCTGAATACCAATAGACTGTGTTGTTGGTGGGCTTTTTTGTTCGTCGAGCAGGTATGTTCGAACAAAAATGACCCAGAACTGAAGTGTGTGGTGTGTGGCTAGCGAAAACGCCACACACTTCGGTTTTGCGTCATTTTTGTTCGAACAGACTTGTTCGTCGAAGAAAACAACCTACCAATAACGCAGTGTATGGGCTCCTTTCACGCAAGTGTTCATCCAATTGCCAAGCAACAACCATGAAAAAAAAGTGTACTTTTCTCCATACTTTTCCGTACAATAATGAAACAGTATTTTGATATTGACATAGGCACACAAAATATATTTAAAAAGTGCAGTTTTTTTAACAGTTGTAGAAAAAATATTGTATTGTATTGCAGAAGCGCAACATTTTGGCGCCCACCAAGAGGCATGCGCGCAAGAAGGCCAAGGTGAAGAAGTACACGAAGCCGGGGCATAAGGATGAAGATTGGAAAAAAACGGTAGCACGGTGAGAATCTTGTGTGTTGAAGATGCCTTGAGTTGTTGAAATCCTTGGATAAATTAAATGAATATTCAAAGTTTTTCAATGATATTTTTTTGTAAACCCAAACTATGAAGTTTGCATCGTCGACCGTTCCAAGAATTTTCCAGATAGCAGAGAATATCCTGACAATTTCGTTTTTTAATTGACTCGGCCGTTACTTGATGGAAACCCATGGCAAATGTTGAAACTTCACAAACGATAAGATTTTCACAAAATTCTCAAACACGGGACATGTTTCGCTAACACAGTAGCTTCGTCAGGTGATAGACTAGTACAATGAACTAAATTGACCTGGGCTTGTTCAACTTTTAAAAGTTAAGCAAGCCCAAGTTACTTTAGTTCATTAGTGTGTTTGGGAATTTTGTGGAAATCTTATCGTTTGTGAAGTTTTTACACTATTCTGACAATATTCACAAATTACTTCTTTGAAATATTCGTAATATTCTCAATGGATTTGAATATTCTAATGAGAAAGTCTCAAAATGAATACCTATACTTCATTACAGTAGGTCAAATTTTGTCAATTTCGGTAATCTAAAAGTGATTCAGATTCACTATAAGCTTAAGGTACTGCTTCTTCAACTTAACACAAGCTTCGACTTTTGAGTTGATTTTCAACTTTAAAATGGCGATGTATTTTGTTTTACTAGGAAACTAATTCATATGGGATTCTTCATTCATTGGCAACAAAACAAATGCCTGAATTGAATTTGAGTGTGCATATACAAGGTGTCCCACAAAAACGTACCATAAATAATAACTTTATTTCCAGAATTCCTTGAATATTTCAAAATCCTTGGAAGGTACTGCTCTATAATTCGCAGGACAATTTACTATGTTAAATGTGCATATAAAGCGTCACAACAGTTCAATAAATATACAGGGAGATAGGTATTTCACATTATATTTGATTAAAATCGATGTGCACCCTTTTGGAGTACGCCAGTTCCATATTCCAATGGATGACATAATAAATTATCAAAAAAATTTCCAAATGCAGTTTTTTTATAATTCTCCTTGGTTTTCCAGATATCTAACATTATTCAATTTGGTGCATTTCCAAACTTTTTTATGATTTATCATGTTTTGCAAATTTCTACCTCATTTGTGTTGAGTTATTGATCACAATAATCATAAACTATGAGAATCATCCATTCTCAAAGTGGCCCCACAGTATTCATAAATGGAAGGAAAGACTAAGTCGGTCGACCACACTTAATATCAAAAATTTTAAATTAGAAAGTGACCGGTCTCGGCACAACTGTCATCATTCATTTGTAATGTATTTTAGGTCGTTTTAGTTTACAGAGTAGACAGAAAAATTAAATGAAAAAATTCATATTAATATGGTATATCTATAGATAGAAGAGAAAAAATAAAATGCAACAATCTAAAAATGTATGTTATGTAGGCGTAAATGAAAGAAAAAAAAAGTGAGCTGATCCAAAAAAGTAACAATGTGACTAGTCTTGTAGATTCAACAGTTCATATTTGACAAATTTTCTAAATGTTTCTGATGGTGTCGTCGTTAATTCTGGTTTGAAAGTATTGGAAAGTTTTACAGCATTATAGGTGAAACTGCGTTCAAACAGAGCAGTCGAATGGTGTGGCATGTTGAGTACCTGTGAATGTCTGGTGTTAAGATTATGTAAATTATTTCTGAATACCAGTTTATCGAAAAGGTATGGTGGACTTTGAGTATTGAACAGTTTGTGCAAAAAAATGGGGAGAACATTGAATTCGGGATTGGTATGATTAACAAAACGAATTCAAATTACAGCGCGAGAAATGGCCTACCTTGATTTTCATTCTTTCCCAAGTTGTGTAGGTTTTCCCAGCTGTTCGGGGCAACCACCAATCTCCTGCTTTCTGGGAAGTGGACTGTATTTCTGGGAGGTTCTCACACACTAAATATTCATTGAGATGGGTTTTGGGTTTGATTGAGTAGGTATTTCGCCGGGTTTTATATTTTCACGCGACACACCGGTACCTTGTCCGAACGTGGAGAGGTACTACTCTTTTTCGGCCGAAACTGGCACACGTTCGGCCACTGCGCAGAATTTGACTCTATTTCGCGCAATATTGGAATATTCGAGAATTGAGATACAAGGAATTAATATTCTCAATAAACATTCGCCGAAATATCAATATAAGAAAATTTTGGATAATATGATTTTGCATGGAAAGAAAATTAATTTTAACTATAGAAACTAAATAACCTTACTCAACTAAAGAGGTGGGGCGTGAACATGGTATTTAAATACATTAGAAACTCTAAACCATTTCAACTGCAACATATAGTGGGAAATGTGATCATATTTCCTCAGATTGAAAACGAATTTACTACAAGTATTTTGCACGCCTTGAAGTTCATATTGGGTGGATTTATCAAGACATGGATAGTAGACAATGTTACAATAATTCAGAAGAGATAAAATTAGAGACTCTGAAAGTCTTTTCCTTGTTTCGAAATTAAAAATATGTTTATTAGCAAAAAGTAAACGAGTGCGCATATAACATTTTCGTAATAAAAGATTCACATGATTCTTGACTCTGAAAGAAGTATCCATGGTCAATCCTAAATTTTTTGCAGTATCAGAGATAACTAAATGTTTAAAATTTTCGGCAAGTCTGATGTTTACAACAAAAATAATAGAGGACCTAGGATAGATCTCTGAGGAACTCTAGACACAATTTTCCTTGAGTCGGAGTACTTATCATCAACACATGCTCGTGTGCGATTCCATAATTTCGATTTAAAATAAGAGAGTACTGTAGTATTAAATCCATAATATGTTAATTTAGAGATTAGTAACTTATGATCTATCAAATCGAATGCCTTAGAATAATCCAAGGTAATTAGAACAGCTACAAGTTTTTTATCTAAGGCACCAATTATATTATCAGATAAATTCAAGAGTGCTGTAGTCGTACCATGGCTCTCCAAGTTTGAATTTGAAACAGAGTGGGTTTTGACAAATTGATCCAAAATGCTACTTTCACAGATTTTTCGCAGACTATGAATTAATTTTTCGAAATACACTTCCATTATTTGTGTAATGACCTGTCAAACACCGCCACAATCAAATATATCTTGAATTTATTCAAAATGTTGCTGAATTCCCTCCCGAAACCCGCGTAGTAAAGAAATATTATTTGTATCATTATGTAGAGTTTGTCTCCTTCAAGTTCAATGGAGATTTAAATTGTGGGAATAACGACAATAAATGTGGTCTAAATTTTAAAAAATTGTCCTTATTCTCGCAATCCCAATCTGCCATTGTTTGTATTGTAGAAGTTGTTTTAAAGACAGACGTTGCTTTTGGCATGTTTGTTTGTTTCACATAGGTACATATTATTCAAATCATAAGTAACAAGATTACGGAATATTTAATATTTGGACAATGCCTCGAATGTCATGTGGCAAGCAATATTCTAACACTCAAATCAAATGAAGCAACCATGCCTTATAATTAGCCCTGGGATAGTGATAAACATAAGGAAATTACACATAAATTGAAAACGCCGCAACCGATTTTGTTTTTTTTTCAGCGATGAGAAGGCGAGTGATAAATGAATCTGTGATGAAAAATATTAGGTGTTCCATTTAAAAAATTCTAAAGAACGTCGTCTGAATCTTACAATATTCAAAATGTAAATTTTAGCACCCTGTAAAGGATCATCTCGCGAAATTACTGGATTGCTGTACGTGACACCTTGCTACTACTGTCTGCCAAAAATATTTTCAAAATTTGAATAAGTAAATGAATATATACCATACCCAATTCAACATGACCCTTCAATCGTAGTAAAAATGGGTTCATCAATTATAACTTGGCAACGCCGCAACCAAATTATTTTTTCTTCACAGCGATTTCAAATAAAAAGTACTGGGTGTTCTATTTAAAAAAACTCGTCTCCGAGTCGTTCCCATTTTATAATACACCCAGTATTGTTGAGAATATTTTCGAAATGGGAACCTTCAATAACGGAAGAAATTTGTTTTCAAAAGTAGTGATGATGGATTTCGAGATATCGAAGAATTACGCACTAAATGGACACACTGTATACTGCTTTTTCGAGTATTTTGGAAAACACAGAAAGTAAACTAATTGGTCTCAAATCATGAACACTATTGGATGATGTAGTTTTTGGAATTGGAATTATGATCGACTCACGCAATTTTTTTTTTTGGAAAATAGTCACACAAAAATATTCATAAAGTATTCATTTATTTCATTTTGGTATCGCAAGGTATCAGGTAGTTCACTATTATATTCCGAAGTTTTAATATCCATGTTGCTCAAACCTTTCCATAGTTTTTTATCATTTTTGCGGCATTCCTAATAATGATTCCAGTTTTCCGGTGTTTTGTTTACTTTATATTTGTCAAGTGCTTTATCACGTTCTTTCAGAATTAATTAGAGGTTATCCGTAAGCCACGGAGCAGGTGGTTTTCTCACTAAAATTTTTTTATAAGGTGCATGTTATAAATTGAAAATATAATTGACATTATTTTCTAACAATCTGATGATTTATGTCATCAATATGAAAGATATTCCATTGAAATAGCGAATACGAATAAATTTCTGCTGAGATTTCCTAACAACTTTTAGAGTGATCACTGACATCTGAAGCAATTGTACCACTATTAAGACATACAAACATACAACCATTTTGGTATACTTGGAACCTCAAATTCTCAGGACATCACTATCTTATATTTATGTCGATCTTCATATTTCACATTCCAGTTTTCAAGAAAACAAGAGAGTAGTATATCGAAGACTGGAACCTTTGGCACGATAATACACTACACTGTTTTACCACTAACCAAATCGATTTTTTTAAACGCCTCGACACGTGTTTCACTAACTATGTTAGCATCTTCAGAAAAAGATTGAAACTAAATATCCTATACAGTGTGTCCCACTTACCATGCTCACCATGGGTATCTTTTTAACAGTGAGAGATACGAGGTCGGTTAAATGACACCAAATGTGGAATTTGTCAAGGCCAACTATAATATGTGAAAAA